TGGGAAATGTGAGACTGCAGACACGGACAGCTTGGAGAACAGACAGATTCTCATCTTTTATCTTACCTGCCCATTCCATATTACTTTTGCTACACACATATGTACACAAGCTACTCCAGGTGGGCCATCATTAAATCGCATGCAATTTTAACCACGGGATGTTCCTCTCTAAACCAAACTGCTCTCTGTTCTAGAGATAATTGTACCTTTTGGTTTATTTTTTAAACTCAGATTAGGGGGGACCTGCGCAAATGGTTTGGATGATTGTGAGCTCGTGTTCCTTACATGGGAATGATTCTCTATAAACAACCTAATCCATGAAATTCTTTATGTACGGACCTCCACTTTTACACACATATAATGGCGAGGTTTCGTAGGGAGTAAAATCGAACGAGCATTTTTCCTCCGAATGAAATGTGTCCTCGCAAAAAGAAATGCAGGCTTAACTACGGCTGGATATAAGGTGAGATTGAAATCATGAACATTTTCTAGTGAAATTAATGAAAATTTTAAAAAATTAGCTAAATTTTAACCCTCGAATAACTAGTTTCTTTAAGTACACTTTTACTTTTTACGAAAAATGCTATAAGGTTTGGTCACTTGATGATACAATTTATAATTTAAAGATAATCTTTATTTTAATTGTTGATATAAACCGTAAACGTTATAATGGGACTTGTTAACTACACGACACGTGACCCTACTTGTGACACATTGTCCTTCGGCGTGTGCCAAACTAGAAAAACAAAATCAGCTAGGGTCAGGAAATAAACCGGTGAAAGTCACGTCCAAAAGCAGTTGCTCACTTAATCTCTCATGCGCACTGTGGTCCGGAATACTGAAATTCTTGGCCAAAACCTATGGTCACCGATTCGAAACCAAAGTACCCTGCTCTGTACCTTTGGCATAGATGTTCAATTTTGGAAAGTTTTGTTTGAATTGTTCTACTGGTTATGGCGTGGCGTACACCTAAACTTACCTTATAACATTGGGCTAAATTGGAAAAACTTCAAGTTGATAATCCTGTCTAGTCCTGTGGTATTTCGATGAACCGTAAATGTATTTTTAATCCCCCATATCTTATCTACAAAAACTGCTGCCACCAGCTGCCACCATCATATATAGACAAAGATATTAGAATTTATGCAAAAGAAAATGGCATAAGCAAAATATCTGAAGTGCTGCAATCATGGCCCTGTATGAAATTTTCGAGTGTTGCAAATAACACGATTACTTCGAAATATGTTACACATGGTTTTGGAAAGGGAACAGTGTAGAACAAACCCCTCTAAAAAATTTTTACGAAGGGAGGAATTTTATAAAGTGGTGGCCACTTGAGGAGGCATTTCGAAATTATTAATTTTGGCCGTATTTTCACTGTTAATGATATCAGAGGACAGAAATAGTTATGAAAACTACCGAATATTGTCATTCGATGAAATTACATCTTCACGTGCATCGAAATAAAAATTTCAAATTTGTATATTGACCACACCCCCTGGCGATGGGTGTGCCAATCATAATATAATGTTATTCGAAATTATGTGGGCCTTGATGAGAGCTTCAAAATGATACCCCACTTAATGGGGTAATGTGATAAAATAATTAGTGACCCTTCACCACACCCCCTTGAGGGAGTGGTTTTCAATGAAAGTTGCACATTTTAACTCTTTGAAACGTCATACGTTGATTTCCAGAAACAGAATTCGAAAAAATCTATTGTTCGAGAGTTATAGGTTTTGGCAAGTAAAAGAGCTAATCCGGACCACTGTGATGCGTGGAGAAAGACATGTCACAAAGTTAAAGTACTATGCAAATTGTTAAAAAAATCTGCTATTTATTTACATCAATTTCATTTCATCCACTGCAGCGGCTACCTGAAACTGAAGCCCGTCGTGACCGGTGGCGACGGCGGAGGTGACGGGATCGGGATTCAAAACTTGGGTCTCGTCCAGTGGCCGCGGAAGATAATTTGGGCCGTGGGGACATACTTATTTTCCAACTTAATAAATCTTGTTAAAAATATCTGTATTTTTTAAAGATGCAAAACTTACATTAAAAGTTTAAAAAACTAAGTTTAAAAATAGCAAATCGAGCTCATTGTTCCAAAATGAATGGCACAAGTTATGAATTTTATGAATTATGTTGAAATGTTGCCTTTCAAATTATCTAAACCGTGGGGACAAATACATTCCATGTCCCCACGACAAAATTACCGTGGGGACATTGTCCCTTTGTCCCCACGCTTCCGCGGCCACTGGTCTCGTCGCCGTCGGCCATTCTTTCCCACCCTCGGCCGTGACGGAGATAAAAATGCACTCCAACATGTTCATGTTCCGAGCCTCGGCTGATCTCAACCTCACCTTCAGGTATGGAAATGAAAGAGTGATGATTTGTTTTGTGCATGTAATTCCGACGAAATGGTGAATTTAACCCTGATCAAATCTTGTGCTGTGTGCATAGAGTTGCGGTATCAGCTCCGCGTGGCTGCAACTCCGGGATAGGGAATGAGCTTGTACGCTCGAGCTTAACAATGGATCCGTGGTTGCGGTATCCACTCCGTGAGGCTGCAACTGCAACTGCGGGGTAGGAAATCCTTTTGTGCGCTCAAGCTCAATACATCACCACTAGTCGCGGTATCAACTCCGCTAGGCTGCAATTCCGCGGTTGCAGAGCTCAAGCTTAATAAGCATGTACATACATATTCCTAAACCCATCTTAACTCCACATGCAAATCCATTTGTTTTACGTGCTTTATTATCTGAATGGTTTTTTGATATGTATTATGGTAAAATTCAAAATATTCAACTACTCAAAATTTAATTACAAATTAATAAATATGTTTTTTTAGTTTTTGGAATTGTAAAACCAGGAATTTTGTTTAGCTTGATAATAAAACAATTTACGCATTATTATAGCAAATCAATTATGACTATTATTATGAAAGTACAAAAAAGTACTATTTTTCATAAAATAATTTCATATTTTTTAATATCCACAATTTTAATCATTGTTTCCGATTCCGATTATCATAATTATTTTGGTGGAGGTGTGATATATATTTATTGTGTCGTACACACTTTATTAATTGTTGCCAGTTTATCACACACTATTTAATTACATACATGTGTATATGTAAACCATACCTACCCCCACCACGTGGTAGCGCAAACAATTTTTTAATTGTTTTTAATATTTTGATGTATAATTACTTTATTTTGAGTGCATGCATGTTAAATACCAGAATACATAATCAAGTATAAATAATATAAAAACTGACCATTTTCATTGTTTTTTATAATAAAACTTTCTTGGGTAACTTTACCAATTTATGCATAAAAATGTATGTTTTTTCTGAATTTCAATTAAATATTGCTTCTACAATGTAGACGAGTCTAAATCATCCAAAAAACCCGAAAGAAAAAAGTTGGTTTGGAAAATTTTACCAATTTGTAAATTCTCACGACTCCATTTCGCAAGGAGTTACACGTGTGTAAATGGGATAATAATTTTCATGTTTCGGAGAGGGTAGATAATTTGGGCATTTTCTTGCAAAATAGACTAGCCTAGCACGCAAGAACACAATATTAGGCGGAATAAGTGGAAAATTTTATTCAGAAATATTGATTTTTCATTTATTTAAAAATTGCGTCCAAATTTCCGCTCGGCTAAATTATCATCACTTGAGCCGCCTACCCCAGCAAACCCTGATCAAATCTTGTGCTGTGTGCATAGAGTTGCGGTATCAGCTCCGCGTGGCTGCAACTCCGGGATAGGGAATGAGCTTGTACGAGCTTGAAAATCTATCACGTGATTTATGCACGCTCCCTGGATATTTTTCGCCGTTTCTCACTTTTCTCGATATGTTCTAATACCTAGAAATGAAGCGAGAATCGTGTTACTTACTCAAAATAAGCACTATGCATGTCGTATGTAGCAAATATGTATATATGCAAAAACTGCGATAACCGTCCAGTTATTTAAAAACATTTTGTATTTTAAAATTTTGCACATATGTACCAGGAAACACAAATTGAGGAAATATCATACAATTATAGCCTGCTCTTAAAATACAATCAAGTATTATCATATCCTCTCCCTGGAAAACGTTCAATTCTGTAACCTAGGTTAGGTTAGATGCACGACCTAAAATAAGATGGGAATGAGCAATACCACACCGTATCCTTAAATATTTGCAATCATAGTTTCCTGACTAAAATTTCTAACTCTAAGCAACTTACTTCGTTTTCTAAATGTTTCAATCCAAGTATTGTCATTCCTTCGTGAATATGTTAATATTCCATACAATTCATTGATCGCCAATGCAGTGCAATGAAACCAATTGCATGTAAGGACCTACCAATTTAATTAAAACTTTCTAGTATCTTCTAGCCCGTATGAAAATCGTAAGTCGAATTTTACATAATTCTACACAACAGACCGGAACAATGGTTTGTGCAGAAAAAGTGTGAACGATTCTGCATAAAAGTTCTAACCTGTATATTCTGCAGAAAGGTTTAGCACAATTATGCATAATTATGCATATGTTGTGCACAAAATGTTTCTGCATAAACTTTTCTGTAAAAGATCCAGCCAATTCTCTGCATAAAATCCATTTAATTCTCTGCATAAAATCCAGCCCATTCTATGCATAAAATCCAGCCAATTCCCTTAAATTTTACACCCGGGAGCAAATGTATATGGACATTCGTAAAAAAAATCCAATAAATAAATTATGCAGAACATAATTTGTAAATTCGATCAGTATTTCGATGCATTTCATGGATGTCTATCGGATTCGTTTCCCGACCAAAGTTGCGAGTGTCCTGGCTGAGAATTGCATAGATCGATCAAGGGACTTAAGTGAAAGCAACATGCGGAAGAATATGTGGGTATGCATCTAATGATATATACTCACGGCGAGAATCATGATTCTCACCGTGTATATACTCATGCGATAGATTTGAAGTGCGTATGTGCTTCACAAGTTTCCACTCACTACAGCTGGGCGTATCGGGAGAAATGTATTTACAGATACAAAAAATGTAGCATTTCAACCCCTTAAATAAGTTACTCGCAATTGTCTGGAAAAAAATTAATTACCTTTATCGCGTTGTAATTGGTAAGTATATGTATTTATTTAATACAGAATCAGGATATTTCCGTAACGTAATTATTTCTATACTACATAAATAAATTACCAAAATATTATAATCTGAAACTTTGCAGGATTAATCATCAGTGAAGATGGAACCATCGCAGAACGGTATATACCCAAGTAGATGAGCTATATTGTAACAATGTGATTTCAACAATGCCTATGTTGAAACCTAGTGAGTGTGATTAGAAGATGGCATGTCATTGGTCGGCAATGTTAATGCAACGTAAAATGAGCCATTAAAAATCACACTTTATTTTCAATATTGAAATCACGTTGAGATAACTTTTGTTGGGATTCATCACCTTCACACAACGTTGACTGAATGCGCGAGCGTCATTTTTGATAACAGTAGGACAACATCGACTGAACGTTTAATGCATGTTTGTTTCACATTGAAATCACAAGCTACAAAGGAGCGCGAATGATTTATCCGGCTGGCATGCTCTTCTTTCTTGATTCTCATTCACTTTGACTGTTCATTTTTCGTCTTGTCCAAAATGAATTTTTTAGTTGTTGAATTCCCTACTGATAACCCAAAAACAGTGGACGTTATTCCGCAAACGTGGCTTATCTCGAAAACTCAGTGTTATTGGCCTACTCGTTGCTTGTCAACGAATTTGACTAAAATACGACGAGAACAAGTTAAGCCTGATCGAAGTTGGGGAAAATGTGCGTGCAGAATATTGGGACATTTTGGTAAATTTTTAGCTATTTTAAATAGTATATAATTTTATTCTAGGTTAATTTTTAAACTCTGGTGTTTTTTGATAGAAACTTTTGAAGCCGCCCAGCAAGCAGCCGTTTTAGCCGAAAACACATCCGATTTGGATATTAATTTTTCTACAAAACGGTCCACCCACCGGCGACCAGAGTCCAGTTCAGATTCGACAGATGACGAGGGACCACCAATAAAAGCGAAGAAAATTACTAAATCTGTGATTAATTCTGTGCCACAAACTTTATTTAAACTTGGTAAACTAAATTATTTTGCCAAAAAATTGATAACATATTTTTGTCTAATTGAGCGCACAAATAATAATGTGTTATTTGAAACAACTTCAGGCGACTTAGCAGACGTGACTCGTGCACAAATTGACCAGGGCCTCGTTTTGTCAGGAAATAATGAGGGTGAGTTGTTGGTTAGTTTTTTTTAACTAGACAGATACTTATTGCAATTATATTCACAATTAAATTATAAACTACTTTGATTTGTCTAGAACGTTCAGCCATATCAAATGTTGAGACAGATTCGTCAGGAAGCCAAATTTTGTATATGAATGCCACACCTTCAGGTGATGGACAGTTAAATTTAGCTATTATTCCTAACGATACAAATGTAAACCAAGATGACCAATCCGTAAATTTCGGCTCCCATCCTATTTATTCATCACCGGTACCATCACCATCGGCAAATTTGGGGTTGCAGACACAAGGTAATAATATGTAAATATATTAAATGTATAATTGTGATTAAAATAGTATGATGTAGTTTTATAAGGTATTATGATAACTATACTAAGCCAGTTGATTAATTTTTTTAACAAACTTGTTACTCAGGTTTTAACAAAGTTGTGCTCAAACATTTGGCAGCAATAAAAACTGGACAAAAATCAATACTGGAAAAGTTGGACTTAATTCTCAACAATCAGAATAGAATCGGAGTAGGACTTGACTTGAACACGGAAACGGAAGAGCCTGACTTCTCGTCATTGCCAATCTTTCCCCTTGAAAGTGTGGACGCCCTTGAACAACTCGAGTCGCAATTGGCTATAGACGATGAACGGAAATTATTTGTAAGATGAAGTACTATACATACAACAATGCCAAAATAATTCATGTTTTAGCTAATTAATTTTTTATGCGTTTAGGTACTTTATCTAATTGACATTGGAGGTAAAAGTCTCGGCGAAACAGTCAAGCGAATTTTACAGAGAATTGTTAGCGAAGATCTCGCCATAGATTTGAGCTACACTGGTCTAGGAAAGAACAAAAAACCATTTAATATCTACAAACATATTGTTAATTGCATCACAGGTTCGTCAATTAATTACAAACATATGAAAATCAATTTGAATATTCCTGAAATTAATTTTCAGCTGCAACAAAGAAAAATAAGAGACTCCCTGCAGAAGTGGAAAAAACTGAGTTTGCCATTCGTGAAATAGTGATGGACTTCTTCCGGTACTCGAGGCCAAGGAAAGCAGCGGCTTCTATTTCTCAAGATTCCACCGATTAGATTATCTTTGTTTAAAATAATATAGGAAATGTCGTCAAGTAGAAATAAGCGTAGAATTATTCAAAAAAGTTATGAAAATCTCGTGCTTGAAGTTGATGCACTAGATGAAATCTCGGTAGGTACGGTTGAGCTTTCGGACAATTCGGTATTAGACAATTTGTTACCAGATAATACAACCGTTTATAATGATGGGGCTCAATATAGTTATGGATTAGAGAAGGAAGCCATTAATAGTTCTAGTGAGTATGACAGTGATGAAGTTAACGATGCGGACCAAGATTTTAAATCAGGTTTAGTGAAATGGGTGGCAAAACACAAAATAAATGGTGTGGCAGTAGACGATTTACTAAAACTATTAAGTGCTAATATTCCTGGTGGGAATCTTCCAGAGTCTTACAAAACATTAATGAAAACCCCTACAAAATATAAAATAGATTTAATTGATGGTGGGCAGTATTATCATTTTGGATTAGAGCGACAATTGCAGAGATTAAGTAAAATTGCTGGGTTTACCGATAATTTTGAAACAATTGAATTAAAAATAGGAATTGACGGTCTCCCAATCAGTCGCTCCAGCAAAAAACAGTTTTGGCCTATTTTGGCAAGTGGCGATATTTTAAATAATGGCAAACCTTTTCTCGTTGGCTTGTATTTTAGTTTATTTTGTAAACCAGAAAAATCTGATCAACTTCTTGGTCCGCTAGTTGAAGAGCTCACACTGCTGCTCGCCAATGGGGTTGAAATTAATGGCTTGGTGCGAAAAATTTCCATTAAATGCATAGTTGCGGATGCGCCCGCTAGAAATTTTGTTAAAAACTGTGTTGCATTTAATGGTTATTATGGTTGTGATAGATGCACTCAGAAAGGTCAATGGCTGGGGAGAGTAGTGTTTAGCGAATTGGACGCCCCTCTAAGAAATGACCAAGATTTTAGAAGAAATATGTACCACAATCATCAGGTTAAGGAATCCATTTTATCCAAATTAGAAATAGGAATGGTTAGTAGCTTTGTCCTTGACTACATGCACTTAGTGTGCCTGGGTGTAACTAGAAAATTAATATCTTGCTGGAGAAGTGGACCAATTCCTTTGCGAATTGGAAGGCAAAATATTGCACAGATTTCTGAACGTTTAATTGCCTGTAAAAATTTTATACCGTCAGAGTTTAATCGCAAGCCACGGTCGCTGGTGGAAGTCGATTATTGGAAGGCAACTGAATATAGGACATTTCTCTTATACCTAGGTCCACTGGTTCTAAAAGGAATTTTGTCTCAGGAAAAATACGAACATTTTTTACAGTTATCTGTTGCGGTTAGGATATTATTATCTGATAATAGAGATTGGTATAATTACGCAGGAGAAATGTTAAATTCCTTCGTTGAAAAAGCTAGCGAGTTATACAGGCCCGAATTTGTAGTATATAACGTACATTCGTTAATTCATTTAGCAGATGACGCTAAAAAATTTGGGTCCCTAGAAAAAATTAATGCTTTTGAGTTTGAGAACTACATGCAACTTCTCAAAAAAATGGGCAGAGGAAAAAAACACGAGCTCGCACAAGTAATTCGTAGAATATATGAGGTAGAGCAGTCTAATTTGTTAACCAAATCTAAATGTAGAGAATTGCATATTTCGACAAAACCAAAGGACAGGGGATTTGCTTTATCTGGGGAAATTGTTATTGTAACAGAATCTAATAAAGATTCTGACGAAGTGGAAATTACAGTTTTCTGTAATAAATCTGATTATTTCACAAATCCCTGTGAAAGCTCAAAGCTATGTATATATGTGGTTCGAAATTTGTCTCCTAGGTCTAGACGAATTAAGAAATCTGACCTTTATCATAAAGTCGTGCTATTACCATTGTCCGATTCCTCGAATGAATATTTATGCCTACCATTTTGCAGTCTTAAAAGTGTATAATTTAAATCAATTAATTGTAATTGTGCACATAAATAATATACATAGTATGTACATAATAATTCACACTAATATTGTATGAAAAGTTTTCATAGACGTATTGATATTTGTAATAATAAACGATCATTAATTGTTGAAATAATAAATTTGGGTGTGAATTAAATGTGAATGTGCATCATTTATTTAACATCAATGGCATGTGCAAAGCATGTAAAATTCGACAATATTAATATCATCCTAACGTTGCAATCACATTCAAACCACATTGCCTCAACATGAGCACTTTTACAATTTCAATGTTTGAAAAAATGAAAAAAGCGGCCATCATTCACTGTGATCCAACACGTTGATTATCACATTGTAACAATATCATTCTTCTACTTGGGTACGCATAAAATAATTTTGCAATAAAAATTATCAGGCGGTGACTATATGTACATATATTACTTAACAGTAATGGCAATGCATGTGTTAACGTCTGGTGGTAAATCTATTACCCTATATGCAACCACCCCCCCCCCTTCAAAAATTGAGATAATAAATTGTGAAAAATGCAAAAATCAATTTAAATACACCCGGTACAAAAAGAATATGAGACCCCAATACGCATTTGACACTTGACTTCCCCCATAAATTCAAGTACTACAAGCCGGCAACGAATTTATTACCATGGTGGTAATACATAGAGCTAAATATACATTAGGCTGGTAGTTAGGCGCCGTCCATAAATCACGTAACGCTGGCTAGCATGGGCAAGATAGGATTTTTTCTCTATCCTGCTCGTGTCAGCCAGCGTTACGTAATTTATGAACGGCGCCTTAGCTTTGTTATCGGATTATTTTATGTTTGGTTGTATCTTAACATAATTTAGGCCAAGGTAAAATCGAACCACATCCGGCTTCGGACACTCCCACTGCCGTCACAATTCGCGAAACCCCGGAGGCGAAATGCGACACGCGTTTGGTATCTTTCTGCTCTGCGTTTTGGGCCGCATTTACGACAACAATTGTGATGAGACTGTGCAAACAATCTTGGTCAAGTTGGACCTCATTGACGGTTGGTGTTAGTGTCGCGGTGGTGGGATTGGTATTTCTAGCGATTCTTATCTTTTGATCCGTAACATATTGAAGAAATAATTGGAAAGGAGAGACTATGAAAAAAGGAATTAAAAGTAAAGACGTTTTTATATATGTAAGGAATGCGTGTAAAAATGTCTTTAATTATAATGCCTCGAATCATAAATATGTACAAATGTGTAATTACCAGAGGAAAGTCAGCTCAGGATATTTATTTTTCCATCTTTTAGACAAGGTTCGGATGAATATTATTTTTTGTCCGAGCTCCGGTTTATACAGCGTTTTTTATAATGCAAAAATTAAGATACGGGGTGGCGCACGTATTGAAATCTCAACCTCCTCAGCCCTCCGCTAGAAATATCGTCGCATATTGATAAAAATTATTTTTACAAGGAAATTCCTCCACATGACTGCAGGAGTAAGGTATTCTGTAAACTTTGGTTTTGTTGGAAACCCAGGACTCAAATAACACAGTTCAAGTTTTCATTAGGCAGTTAGCGCAAATCACATATCGCATTCCGACATATAACTTATCGTCCAGGATAAGTCTTAAGCATAAGCTTTATGTCAACAGTTTGCGCAGTTGACGTAAGACACAAAGGTCATCTCTTTTTCCCCTTTTCCGCACCACCACCTCCGACTTTCAAAAATGAGAGGGAGATCTTGTTGAAGGTGGAAGTGGAATTGTTGTTGTCCCAACCTAATTGCTTTTATAAAAAAATTCACTGAATTTTGAGACGGGGCAAGGTTGAGACACGATATGCCAACATATCGCACCTGAATAATGCATGACTTATTTGGGTCCGAGTTACGTCTGACATAAGGATTATCGGGCCGGAGTTAAGTCATAAGTCGTTAATCCCTATGTGATATGTCGGTGCGTTAACTGTCTATTATATGTAGGTAGCGCATAATTAATTACATACTTTTTGCAAATTATATACTTAATATTTGAGAAATTTATTATTTAAAGGTTATAATTACTATTTTTTGCTACAGTTTGGGAAATAAAAAGGAGAAAATATGTTATGTAGAACATTTACAATTAAATGTACTTTAATTTACTTTACAATTAAACACAATTAAAACTCTAGAACATTTTGATAGGCATTATTTTTCTTGTGGTGTAACACATAAAAGTGATCTTTACGAAGTAATAGATGTAAATAGTTTAATTACTCATGAATGTGAAGAACGTATTGTACAAATGCCACTTTGCATTTGGTTTTAAGGCATAACCTGTACAATTCATGTTCCTGTATGTTTATATATATGTATATGAAATTGCTTGATTAGTTATTTGGATCATAAATTAACTTGTCAAAATATATATAAAAAATGTTGAAATTCATTAAATTATTGCTCATGAATGCCCATCGAATTTATTGAAATCATTACCACAATAATAATGCATATTCCTGAAGGCAGTAATGATAGTAATGCAAAATTGTATTACTAAGATACCAAGCAGTAATAAACATTTATTAAATGCAGTAATGATAGCATAACATATTGGTATTTATTACTAATAAAGAGTTTTTGTTTTACTAGGCAAAATTGTACCTGGCTATAATTAACCAATCGCAGGTGAGTAAGTTTTAAAGCAGTTACCGTACCGTACGGTAAAAACAGTTATCAGAGCAGTATTATCACATAGATACTCCACCCGGTAATCTTGGTAATGAAATTCTTAAAAGTGTAGCTACAAGTATATTTAATGTATTCGATACAATCCGTTACTAAAATATTGCGATATTGCATTTCTATAGTTGCTGATTTACTGTAACGACATGTCTGTATTTATATCTTACACATTCTCCGATTAATTCAGCGGTACTGATAATCAAACAAAGTCCACACATGTAAAAAGTCTTCGTGATTTTAGAGTTAAAATCCAACTGTGAAAGAGCCGTGTTTCTCGGATGTGTCCAATTTGCATAGTCATCTAGTAGCTTTTTAGGTTTCCACAGTTTGTACAAAAACTCCCAGTGTGAGAAAATTCCCGAAGTTATCATCACCTTGAGACGTTTCTCAGCGTAA